TTTTCACTATTGAAAGAACTGAAGCGCATATTAAGCCAGGTATATGTGTGTGGATTGTACCGGCATGATTCAAAACCAAAAAGTGAAAAAGACACATTTGGGGATGCAAAAATTTTAGGAACATTTTATTTCAAAAACGCTCTCGTAGATTTTTTCCAATCTTGCCAAGGTAATGGCAACGGCCTAACTATCAGCACACTAGAGGATTTTAACAGATTATTGCTAGATTTCGAGACTCAATTCCCATGCCATCGTTATTTCGTTGCTAAGGAAGCAGCGATGTCAACAAAACATGCTCTAGAATTAAGTTCGATGTTAGTTAAATATGTGGTTATTAGTTTTTTATATCCAAACCTTGTTTGGTCTCTATGATTTGCTACTGTTATTTATGTTTATGAGTTTTTGAAATATTGCCTCAAAAACAAGTACAAAATTTTGAATTTTGAATGAGACAAAAAGGATATATCGTATCGCAGAAGTCTACCTCTGCCATAGGATTTCTTTTTAGACTGTTCATTAAACTAACACTTGGATTTAAAATGAATTCTGTTCTCAGACTTATTTTCTTTCTTGGTGATATTTTAGAGAGATCTGGACAGGTTATTGACTCCTTTCTCCTGTCTGCCCTATCTAAGCTGCGTCAAGAGAGAATAGGGAGCTTAAACAACGATGACAGTGACGTCAGCGAGAAGGGCAAAAAAGCAATAGGTTTAGATTGGCAAAACAACAACTCTGCCCGTGCATCACGCTTTTTTGTACATTTCTTTACCGTCACTGCACGACTACGACGTAAAAATGCCTAATTTCACGTTTTGTGGAGGACGTGAACACAAGACAACGAATTTATTTTTCTTTTCCTGAATTTTATAATTCAACTCCAGCAAAAATTGCCAATATTCGACGAACTGAACGAGATGGAATAAGCACGATTAAGTTTGAAGCAGCGCGACTTCACTTTTTAAGTGACATTTTCGTAGCCGTAGCCGTCGCCATCGTTGTTGCTTAAGCTCTCTAATAATGGGACAGAGAGGGAACCTTAGGGCCTCGGCCGCGATAAGCGAATTTCACTTGAGTTAATTTTTGAGGTTGTGATTAGACAGAAGTCTAATTACTGGGACGTCCGCAAATGATAATCGATAATCAAGTCCACGCTTGCTTTCACGCTTGCTTTCACGACCTGCCTTCATTGTTAAACTACCTAACAGTGGATGATCAAACTATAAGTATTTGTTGGTGAAAAGGTAAGAGCAAAATGAGTTTTTTAAATTCGTCTAATAATTCGTTTTTGTTGCACTTTCTCTGTGACTTGATCTTCCTGTAGATCATCCGGGTGAGTTGCTTCTACAGAAGGTATATTAGGATTGATTTTGTTGTAAAATGTGACTCTGCTACTCGCATAGATCGCCCTCTCTTTCTTTGAATCCTCCGGAGTCCTGTGTTATAGAAAGAGAAAGGAATGCTTCAGAATAAAGTAATAAAAGGGGCGGGGAGTTAAGATGTTTACGATATGGAAAAAAAGAGGGGCTGGATGTCAGTTAGCCCCACCCAGACCCTCAAAAAAGGGGTCAAAACTTTTTGGGTCCAATCGGTCGCAGATCGATTTGAGTCTAAGGCTTTCTGTAAATCATATAAATGGAGTTTCCCTCAACTTACTTGTAAGACCTTTGGACTAGGCCCTATCTTTCAGGTTTCCAAACTGCATGAGACTTGAGAAGGAACCAACAACTAAAGGAACATGCACTTTGTAGCCAATGGTTGTTTACCATTTATTTAGGCGAACTGGTCGGTTCACGGTTTGTGCGAATTCACTACATTTTAGATTTAGTCCCGGAATAGCTTACCATTGTACAAGCAGTTCCGTTTACCGCAAAAATGGCCTCGAAGGCCCGAAACTAGTATCAAAGATGGCTTTGAAGAAAAAAGGAACACGAATTTCCGTTTGGAACATTCCGTCCGGAAAAAAAAAGAAGACTAGTACCTTCTTCAGGACTTCCATTGCTCTCGGAAATTTTGCACTGGAATGACCCAAAAAGTGGTGTTCCATTTACTTTCCAACCGGATTTTTCGAAACCTTATTGTTTATGGTAAACCACCAATATCACCAGTAATTTTTCGCACTTACCATGAAAAGAAGACAATTTTTGAGACAGGTCCTCGATCCTCCGTCTCGTACGCAAAGTCGTACAGGGCGTAAAAGCATTCATCACCCACAAAAAGTTTCAGAAAATCCCCATACGTTGATTGCCTGACTTTTTCCCACACTGCTATGTATTTTCTGTTCTCAGTCACTTTAAAAATAACGTATTTCCACTGTTTACGTTTTATCTCTTTAAAGGCTGCGACACACTCTTCTTTTACTAGGATTCCAGACGGATTCTACCGAAAAAAATTAATTCCGTTTACAACACAAGTTACCCTTGACCATGTTTATATGGGAGGAGGTTATCTCTCCCAGAAGCTTATTAAGATCAAAAGGTAGCCTTCCTTGGTTCTAAGATGGCTTATGAGGCTTACTACACAAGTCAAACCTGTCAAACCTGTCCTCTGTTATACGGGAAGACTCTGTCCAACCCCTCACTCTTTTTCTATACCATTCTTGGAAGGAAATGTACTCCTTTCGTAGACTTTTCATTAAAACGTGGTACCCATTTAACTCACCTAGCTCTTATATTATTAAGTCGCCTGAAAAGGAACTCTTCTTGCCATTTTCATGTAGCATTTAATAAACTCTAATGATAAAGGTGCGTCTAGAGAAGATAATTTGTGATATTTTAGTTAAAGGCCCTTTTAAAAAAAAAACCTGAATGAGAGATTTCCCTACGTTTTCATATACCTGAAAATATATCTAAACAGGAGCCTATTAACATTCTGACCTGAAGCCTGAAAAAAAGTACCCTTTCCGGAGCCTCCCCGCATTGGAAGTGCCACGCCCCCCTTCCCTGGGAACTGCCTCCTTAGTTCATTACTAAACCTGGTGTTCATATGATTGCTACAATCGCTGGAAAAAAGTCCAACGAAGGAAATGATGGTAGAGATCGTAATGACTTGAAATAATACTGAAGTCTATTTCGCGATGGCTTTGTCTTCACGATACGACCGTTGAGGATGGACTTTCCTAATCTCGTACCCATATCTCCCTTGGACAGAGTGAGATCTGGGTACGAGATAAGCACTTTCCTTACCAATCTTAGGCTGCGTTCACACGGCATTGGACTAATTTTTTGACGGGACACTTCGTTCACACGAGAACTTTGACCGGCTAAGCGTCTGAATTTTCGAGCGGTTCAGATGGTTAATTCGGTGTGAAAGAAACATTTAAACGCACTCCGAGTTTTCAACCGGTCGAAAATTCGTCAGGCGCCGTGTGAACATAGCATTATTCGCTGTTTTCTAATAGTTGTTTCCACTGATTTATTGGATACGATCTCTGAATCTGCCCTACACTTATGGCACTGTTGGACGTCATGGAAGTCAGGCTTAAACAGTGCTTTCTGGCCTGAGGCACAGGCCGGACCTCAGGTCCACGCAATAAGACTCCTCAGCTCTCCTATACATGCGCATGCGAATAAGCAGCGCATTTACTTAAAGTGCATAAATTCAGACCTTGAAAACTAGCTAACTACCTGATTTTTGAGGTCAGAAACCTCTAAGATCAGGTTGGCCCGTAGTAGGATGTTTGAGTACGCCGGTAGAGAAAATGATTTTTTTAGGCCTCTGTGAAGCAAACAACAACACTGCTAGTGCATGACACTGACACGTTTTAATAAATTTCGGTGCTGTGGATCGCTGCACGACTACAACTTTTAACTTCCTAATGCGACGATTTATAGAGGACTTTAAAACATAAAAGCAATATTTTAATTAATGCCTTTCTCTTTTCGAGCTTGGATTTGGTACCTAAATTATAAAAATTAATTCTACGAAAAATTCGCCTACATTTGACAAACTAAGGGAGTTAGAGGAGGCCCTCAAAAACTTCGGTGATAAGAGAGCGCCGAGTCTCAAAATTACCGAAGAATAACTTTCCTTAAAAATTGCTCAGTCTTATGAGCCGCAGCAAGTTATGTTGTTATAATATTTTGCGCACATCATAAAGAAAATTCATCTTACCATTTTCACTTCAAACAGTCATTTCTTTGCAATAGGTTTGCAACAACATGAAACTTCAGTACTGCATATGATTTGTCCTAAAACCTTTATCCAACAAAAGATACCCCATCGTAAAGTTAGTTAGAACTCCACACCTGCTGGGGAGCTATCCAGAGACTATAGGCAAAAACTAATTTACTTAGTTCAAGATTTCTGTAGTTACGCTCCACTGATTTGTTTGTTGACTCCTTTCTCCTGTCTGCCCTATCTAAGCTGCGTCAAGAGAGAATAGGGAGCTTAAACAACGATGACAGTGACGTCAGCGAGAAGGGCAAAAAAGCAATAGGTTTAGATTGGCAAAACAACAACTCTGCCCGTGCATCACGCTTTTTTGTACATTTCTTTACCGTCACTGCACGACTACGACGTAAAAATGCCTAATTTCACGTTTTGTGGAGGACGTGAACACAAGACAACGAATTTATTTTTCTTTTCCTGAATTTTATAATTCAACTCCAGCAAAAATTGCCAATATTCGACGAACTGAACGAGATGGAATAAGCACGATTAAGTTTGAAGCAGCGCGACTTCACTTTTTAAGTGACATTTTCGTAGCCGTAGCCGTCGCCATCGTTGTTGCTTAAGCTCTCTAATAATGGGACAGAGAGGGAACCTTAGGGCCTCGGCCGCGATAAGCGAATTTCACTTGAGTTAATTTTTGAGGTTGTGATTAGACAGAAGTCTAATTACTGGGACGTCCGCAAATGATAATCGATAATCAAGTCCACGCTTGCTTTCACGCTTGCTTTCACGCTTGCTTTCACGACCTGCCTTCATTGTTAAACCACCTAACAGTGGATGATCAAACTATAAGTATTTGTTGGTGAAAAGGTAAGAGCAAAACGATTTTTTTAAATTCGTCTAATAATTCGTTTTTGTTGCACTTTCTCTGTGACTTGATCTTCCTGTAGATCATCTGGGTGAGTTGCTTCTACAGAAGGTAAATTAGGATTGATTTTGTTGTAAAATGGGACTCTGCTACTCGCATAGATCGCCCTCTCTTTCTTTGAATCCTCCGGAGTCCTGTGTTAGAGAAAAAGAAAGGAATGCTTCAGAATAAAGTAATGAAAGGGTCGGGGAGTTAAGATGCTTACGATGTGGAAAAAAAGAGGGTCTGGATGTCAGTTAGCCCCACCCAGACCCTCAAAAAAGGGGTCAAAGCTTTTTGGGTCCAATCGGTCGCAGATCGATTTGAGTCTAAGGCTCTCTGTATATCATATAAATGGAGTTTCCCTCAACTTACTTGTAAGACCTTTGGACTAGGCCCCATCTTTCAGGTTTCCAAACTGCATGAGACTTGAGAAGGAACCAACAACTAAAGGGACATGCACTGTGTAGCCAATGGTTGTTTACCATTCATTTAGGCGAACTGGTCGGTTCACGGTTTGTGCAAATTCACTACATTTTCAATTTAGTCCCGGAAAAGCGTTTACCATTGTACAAGCAGTTCCATTTACCGAAAAAATGGCCTCGAAGGCCTGAAACTAGTATCAAAGATGGCTTTGAAGAAAATGGAACACGAATTTCCGTTTGGAACATTCCGTCCGGAAAAAAAAGAGGACTACCTTCTTCAGGAGTTCCATTGCTCTCGGAAATTTTCCACTGGAATGACCCAAAAAGTGGTGTTCCATTTACTTTCCAACCGGATTTTTCGGAATCTTTTTGTTAATGGTAAACCACCAATATCACCAGTAATTTTTCGCACGTACCATGAAAAGAAGACAATTTTTGAGACAGGTCGTCGATCCTCCGTCTCGTACGCAAAGTCGTACAGGGCGTAAAAGCATTCATCGCCCACAAAAAGTTTCAGAAAATCCCCATATGTTGATTGCTTGACTTTTTTCCACACTGCTATGTATTTTCTGTTCTCAGTCACTTTAAAAATAACGTATTTCCACTGTTTACGTTTTATCTCTTTAAAGGCTGCGACACACTCTTCTTTTACTAGGATTCCAGATGGATTCTACCGAAAAAAAGTAATTCCGTTTACAACATAAGTTACCCTTGACCATGTTTATATGGGAGGAGGTTATCTCTCCCAGAAGCTTATTAAGATCAAAAGGTAGCCTTCCTTGACTCTAAGACGGCTTATGAGGCTTACTACACAAGTCAAACCTGTCAAACCTGTCCTCTGTTCTACGGGAAGACTCCGTCCAACAACCCCTCACTCTTTTTCTATACCATTCTTGGAAGGATATGTACTCCTCTCGTATACTTTTCATTAAAACGTGGTACTCATTTCACTCACCTAGCTCTTATATTATTAAGTCGCCTGAAAAGAAACTCTTCTTGCCATTTTCATGTAGCATTTAATAAACTCTAATGATAAAGGTGCGTTTAGAGAAGATAATTTGTGATATTTTAGTTAAAGGCCCTTTTAAAAAAAACCTGAATGAGAGATTTTCCTACGTTTTCATATACCTGAACTTCTAGAATCCTTACTCTGTTAAATATATCTAGACAGGAGCCTATTAACCTTCTGACCTGAAGCCTGAAAAAAGTACCCCTTCCGGAGCCCCCCCGCATTGGAAGTGCCACGCCCCCATTCCCTGGAAACTGCCTCCTTGGTTCATTGCTAAACCTGGTGTTCATAAGATTGTTACAACTGCTGAAAAAAAGTCCAACGAAGGAAATGATGGTAGAGATCTTAATGACTTGAAATAATACTGAAGTCTATTTCGCGATGGCTTTGTCTTCACGATACCGCTGTAATCACTGCGACCGTTGAGGATGCACTTTCCTAATCTCGTACCCAGATCTCCTGTGGACAGAGTGAGATCTGGCTACGAGATAAGCACTTTCCTTACCAATCTTAGGCTGCGTTCACACGGCATTGGACTAATTTTTGACGGGATACTTCGTTCACACGAGAACGTTCAATATTTTAGCTCTGTTTCACAGAACTTTGAACGGCAAAGTGTCTGAATTTTCGAGCGGTTGAGATGGTTAATTCCGTGTGAAAGTAACATTTAAACGAACTCCGAGTTTTCAAACGGTAGAAAATTTGTCAGGCGCCGTGTGAACATAGCATTAGTCGCTGTTTTCTAATAGTTGTTTCCACTGATTTATTGGATGCGATTTCTGAATCTGTCCTACACTTATGGCACTGTTAGACCTCACAGGCCGGACCTCAGGTCCACGCAATAAGACTCCTCAGCTCTCCTATACATGCGAATAAGCAGCGCATTTACTTTAAGTGTATAAATTCAGACCCTGAAAACTAGCTAACTACCTGATTTTTGAGGTCAGAAACCTCTAAGATCAGGTTGGCCCGTAGTAGGATGTTGGAGTACGCCGGTAGAGAAAATGACTTTTTTAGGCCTCTGTGAAGCAAACAACAACACTGCTAGTGCATGCATGACACTGACACTTTTTAATAAATTTCGGTGCTGTGGATCGCTGCACGACTACAACTTTTAACTTCCTAATGCGACGATTTATAGAGGACTTTAAAACATAAAAGCAATATTTTAATTAATGCCTCTCTCTTTCCGAGCTTGGATTTGGTACCTAAATTAAAAAAATTAATTCTACGAAAATTCGCCTACATTTGACAAACTAAGGGAGTTAGAGGAGGCCCTCAGAAACTTCGGTGATCAGAGTCAGAGAGCGCCGAGTCCCAAAATCACCGAAGAATAACTTTCCTTAAAAATTGCTCAGTCTTATAAGCCGCTCTTTAAAAGACAAGTTATGTTGTTATAATATTTTGCGCACATCATAAAGAAAATTCATCTTACCATTTTCACTTCAAACTGTCATTTCTTTGCAATAGGTAACAAAGTCTCTAACCACGCTCCCTCAGCGATTTGCAACAACATGACACTTCAGTACTGCATATGATTTGTCCTAAAAACTTTACCCAACAAAAGATACCCCATCGTAAAGTTAGTTAGAACTCCACACCTGCTGGGGAGCTATCCAGAGACTATAGGCAAAAACTAATTTACTTAGTTCAAGATTTCTGTAGTTACGCTCCACTGATTTGTTTGTATATGAGCCTAGTTGTGAAAACAGTTTGTAAAATCGTGTAGAAGGGGAAAACTTGATTATTTTGGATAACACATTATCACCAGTGGCTTGAGCGTACACTTAAGTTGCCTTAACTCATTAGTGCAGCAATCAGTCTATATTCTTGCAGAGCATGAAGTCTTTCCCTCATAGACTGCATAGATCAAAGTATCAATTGTTGCTACCATTTCGTTGCCATTTGATTATAATAGGCATCTCTTATTTAGCTGTAAAACTCCCTGGAGAGCGATTTAATGCTAGGGATCATTTTAAAAGAGCTTTACAGTTACTCGTGCTGTTTTCTTTTGTTATTTATTGAAATTTTATGTTTCGATACAAGATTGTTTTTAATTCTTCCTATTTTTGGCCTTCTACCCCTACGGAAAGCTCATGCAAAATAGAATGGTCTGCCTGTGACTTTAAATAAAAAAGAAACCCTTGTTGTGGCTGAAGCAAAATCAGAGAAATCACTTCTACATGTTTAATTAAGATCATTACAGATGCAGAATTTTAAAATGCAGCCGCTAAATAAGATTACATTAGTACTGTTGGATGGTAAATGTTGCGCCATGATGTACGACTCAGAAAATATATGCTGTACTAAGAAGAAAATAAGACAACGGTATAGTGGTGTCGTATCAGTATGGGCTGTGGGAATTAGCTGTACATAGTATGGAGTTGACTGTATGTTGTATGAATATTTATGTAAGGAGTTATATAAGAAGAGCGTAGCTCTAGCTGAGGAGGGCTAATTTTGTTAGCCAAAATATTGGCCCCATATAAATCAACCCTTTGCCGTATTACCAGTTTTGTTTTAAACGCTTTTCTTTGGCGTCTTGAAATCCACAAATGACCAAGCTTGTTTGTTCAAGATGGCTAGTGACATGTATGAGCTCCTGCTATAGTGACCATTGGCGTCGTTCTTCACTTTTTATTTATGGCGTTTTAAACGCAAAAAAGAACTTAATAATTATAGCCATAGTCAGCCATCCTGACCTCATGCTTGATGAGGGTAAAAACATGACACATGACTGAAGGTCCCGTCGTTTAAAAGTAAGAATTCTCTTGTATTCTGCACATGCATATAATCATAGAATACAGTCTACTCCCGATAAGACCGATAATTCGAACCTTCAAGGGAAATTGAAAAAAGTTCGAGTTATCGGGAGTTCGAGTTAGCGAGGGTAAAATTATATAGAAAATGATCTGAAGGGAAATGAAAATTGCTTCGAGTTAACGGAAGGTTCGAGACTGCATATCATTAGGCCGCCGTTATGAAAGAGGTCTATGTTGTCTTTTCACGTTCTTAGCGGTTATTGGTCTTATTTTTATGTTTCGCTCAGCTTGGCGGTGGTTCCTACTGTTTGAATTTTGATCAATTTCGTGACACAGCTCCTTAAGGCCAAACATCAAATGCAATACTTGTCACCTTCTTTGTCTATGTTGTATTATTGTTAATAACTCTGTCATGGGGATCGAGGAGCCCGGGGGGGGGGGGTACTCCATATGATGGCCTATACGGGGAGGCTCCGCCCGAAAGGGGTATCTTTTTTAGGCTTCAGGTATATGAAAGGGTAGGGATTTTACTCGTTGAAGTATATGAAAGGGTAGAAACATCTGTCATTTGGGTCTGTGAAAGGGCCCAAAAGGGTTAACAGATGAATTTTGTGGGCTTTATAAAGTCGAGAAAACGTTCTATTTTTGTGATTGATTCCTATTTAAATGACAGTGCATTCACAGCAGTTAAAAGGGATGCAACGTTATAAATAAGGTATGTGAAAGAGGTATCATTTGTCAATAGACGGTATATAAAAGGGGTACCTTTTTCGTGAAAAATGGTATATAAAAGGGTAAGGGGTTGGACTTGGACCTCGGGGCGGAGCCTCCCAGTACCAGTATAAACATTTTTTGAGACCCCACCCCTCCCCCGGCAAGGGCCTTCAAATAAGGCTAATTCCGCATCCTGAAAAATCTTTGGGGAACCTCATGACTCTTTAACATGATTCATTAAGGTTTAGTTTAACCTTTTAACCTTACTCAGGCTGAGGGGGGCTTTTGGAGCCCTCTGCGCTCCTCTCGAGAAAGTTGAGTACAGTCGAACCTCTCCACAACGGTCACCTTGGGGACAGATGAAAGTGGCCGTTATGGGGAGGTAGGAAGTAATATGAAAATTTTTTCTGAGGAGTAAAACATGTTTTTGGTGCTAAGTTCATGCTCACTTTTAGTATTCTCATAATGGTAATCCATTCAAATATAATAATTATATAGACATAAAGTACACAAAAACTTGACTAATGTTTTAAATCAAATTCATGTTCACGTGACAAAACGAGCAAGGTTCGCAACATTTGCCGTAAGTATCGTAGACAATTTATGCTCACTGCAGCAGTAGAAATAACAACACAATCAACTGACTATGATTGCCGCGATTGATCATCGGCGCGCCATACGGATCATATTTGATAACCATTTTCGTCTTTTTCATCAGTCGATGAAAAAGCTGCCCGTTGTCGAGAGGTTATTTTGGCAGTTAGGGACATGCTATAGTGACCATTGCCGTTGTAGAGAGGTTTAAACAAGAGTCAATGTACTTCATGAATTGTCCGCCGGGACGAAAAAAAGTGGCTGTTATGGAGAGGTGGCCGTTACTGGAGGTTCGACTGTAACTTGAAAACAGTTCAAGTTCTGACCACCAAAATTCGTGACTTCTCCTAAAAATTATCGAGAAACATTTTAAAGTCGTCGGGACGTGTACGTCAACTTGACGTTACCTTGGCAACAAAGCTTTTCTAGCCATGTTTTTAAAGTTTTCATTTTTTCTAAAAAAATAGGTTTTATTTCTATTTTCACTAACTGAATCATTATATTGCACTTAATTTAGCATCATTCTAACAAAGTTATTTTAATAGTTGATGAAATCAAGGCTTTTTAGTGACTAGTTTGAGAAAAAAACAT